TTCTTCACTCAACGCCCGGACAGCCTGGGGAACTCTGTGCTAGGGGATGTTGTGAGGGCCAAAACTATAACGGGGTTCAAAAAAGAACTAGCTAAGTTCCTGGAGGATGGATCCATCTCTGGCTATTAGCCAGGCCGGGCAGGGATGCAGCCCCCTCCTCTGGGTGTCCCTAAACCTCTGACTGCCAGAAGCTGGGAGTGGACGACGGGATGGATCACTCAATGATTCCCTGTTCTGTGCCTTCCCTCTGGGGCCCCTGGCATTGGCAGACGGGACGCTGGGCTAGAGGGACTCTTGGTCTGACCCAGCCTGGTGGTTCTGATCTAGCGCACGAAGAGATCCCCCTGCTCTAGTTGCCTCTGGGCAGTGCTGCGATGTGCCCTGTGGCAGGCTGGGGTGCGAATCGTGGGGTTTCCTCAAGTCTGGGGCAGTTTGGTTTTCTCTGGCCAGGAGTCCCCTAGTGGTGGCAGATGTAGGGGCTTTAACCTCTGGGTCCCCTGGAGTTTTATCAGAGTTGGGGTTGGGTTTCCTTCCAATCCCCTCCTCCCTCTTACCCTGGGTGCCTGGGGGGTTTCCCTTCCCCTGCGACTTGCGTCCTCCATGGGCCCTTCATTCAAGGGCAATTTCCCAGCCTCTAAACCTGTGGATGGTTTTCACCTCACGGCTGCCTTCGCCTCCCCTGTAATTACCCATAACAGCTGCTCCTGGCATCGGACCGGACAGTTATCCACGGTCACCTTCAGCCACTGCCCCCATTATCCATTTTGTCATCAAACGACACATTTTATCCACATACGCAACGTGAGGGACATAGTCAAACACCCTGAAGTTTCTATACTTCAGTCGATAGCTCTTGGGTCTGGTGGGTTAGAGCGGGGGGGCTGAGAGCCAGGACTCCTGGGTTCTAACACCCCTATCTCCTGCAGTCTCCCCGTATTACCGGACCAAGCTTCGTGGACTCTACACAACTGCCAAAGCTGACGCGGAGGCTGAGTGCAAGTGAGTGCCCCCTCCTCCCCGCCCCCTGCAGCTGCCGATGACCCCGCCCCACTGCTCACCCCTGTCTGTCCTCTCACCCCCAGCATCCTACGCAAGGCGCTGGACAAGATTGCGGAGATCAAATCCCTTCTGGAGGAGCGGCGCATTGGTGAGTGTCCCCCCGCCCTGTGCCTTTCCCCAGAATAGGCCATGGGGTCCAGCCCCACACTGGGGACACTCAGCATTTGGTATGAGCAGGAACTCTCATCATCCCTTGGGGCTAGGACGATGGAATGTCTCTAAGGAGGATGGGAATGCCCATGATCCCCTGGGGCTGGGTGTCTCTGCTTCGGCGTGCTGGGGTCAGGGATCCGGGGCCTGCAGTCTCATAAATGGGGTGAATGGGAGATGTGGGACGCCCAGGGTGCGTGTGGCAATGTGGGCTGGGTGGCATGTGAACACGGGCTCAATGTGTCTGCAATGGGGTCAGTGTCTGTGTCCGAGTCCCTGGGGGCAGGAAGGAGGGGCTCCCCCTAGCTCTATGGGGCTCACCCCACTTTCTCCCCCACCCACAGCCGCCAAGATTGCCGGGCTCTACAACGAGTCAGAGCCACCCCGCAAGACCATGCGCCGGGGCGTCCTCATGACCCTCCTCCAGCAGTCAGCCATGACGCTGCCCCTGTGGATCGGCAAGCCTGGGGACAAGTGAGTGTCGCTGGGGTGGCACAGGGCAGCCCGGGCTGGGATTCTGTCCCCACACCTGAGCTAACCTCACCCTCCTCTCCCCACAGGCCACCCCCACTCTGCGGCGCTATCCCCGCTGCCAGCGATTACGTGGCCAAGCCGGGGGACAAGGTGGCCGCTCGTGTCAAGGCCGTGGACGGGGACGAGCAATGGATCTTGGCCGAAGTGGTGAGCTACAGCCACGCCACCAACAAGTGAGCACCGGGTGTGGGTCCCCTGGGGCCCGCCGGGGGGCCGGAGCCAATGGCAGTGCCGTGGGAGTCAGCCCCCCGCAGCTACAGCCACCTTGGGGCATCCAGCCATGGAGCTGGGCAGCAAGGGTACCAGACAATCCTGTGTTGATCCCTTGTCTCATGTCTCAAGGGAGCTGGCTCTGGAGCAGGGGGACACAAACATTTCTCTGGCCAATCAAGTGCTGTAATGCTATAGTCACCCAGTCTTTGGGGCATAGAAATGCAGTCTAGGCGCTCAAGGGAGATGGCTCTATGATCCTGCAATCTTTTGGACTTAAGTCCCATTCTCTTGCCACTTCAGAATGGTAACTCTATGGCTGTCTAACCTCAGGGAGGTAGAAACACCTCTCTCGACGCTGCAGGATGGCATCCCTATGGTTTCCGCTGTCTTGGTAGCATAGAAACCCCTTTCCAACTTTGCAGCCGGTGTGACGCTGGTTCTACAACTTCAGAGGAATGGAGGCTCCTCTCTAGCTGCTCGAGGGTGATGGCTCTATGGTGCTGGAGTGGTCAAGTCATAGGATAACATGGGAATGCTTATTTAGGGACTTAACGGAGATGGCTCTATGGTATTGCAACTGTAAGGGCATAGAAACTCTCTAGCCACTCAAAGGAGATGGCTCTATGGTTCTCCATTAAGAGCTGCATAGGAATGCCTCTCTAGCCGCTCAGTGGAGATGGCTCTATGGTTCTGCAGCTTTAGGTCCTCCCCTTGCCTATCTCCTCAGGCCATCTCCTCTCTTTGCAGGTACGAGGTGGATGATATCGATGAAGAAGGCAAAGAGTAAGTGAGAGGAGAGGAACGGAGAGGGGAGGGGGATGGGGAGGCTCTCTCGTCCGGGGGGGGTCCCTGTCTCACCCTGTCTCCCCCCCCAGGCGTCACACCCTGAGCCGCCGCCGCATCATCCCGTTGCCCCAGTGGAAGGCGAACCCTGAGACAGACCCCGAGGCGCTGTTCCAGAAGGACCAGCTGGTGCTGGCGCTGTATCCCCAGACCACCTGCTTCTACCGGGCCCTGATCCACGCCCCACCCCAGCGGGTAAGGGGCCCTTCCCCTCTCGGGGGCACTGATGCGAGACTGGCTGGCTCACGGAGGGGGCATGGGATGGGGGCCTTTCCCTGCTAAGAGCTACCCACACCCATCCAGCCCAGGGCGAGGACTGGCTGGCTCAGTGGGGCAGGGAATGGGACGTGGGGCCTATCCCCTGTGGGGGGCACTGGCTGTGATCCAGCCTCAGGGCAGGGACTGGCTGGTTCAGGGGGACAAGAAATGGGACGTGGGGCCTGTCCCCTTTGGGGGGGGGTGCCGGCTCTGATCCGGCCCCGGGGCAGGGACTGGGATGTGGGGCCTGTCCCCTTTTGGGGGGCGCCAGCTCTGATCCAGCCCCAGGGCGGGGACTGGCTGGCTCAGGGGGACAGAGAATGGGACTCGAGGCCTGTCCCCTCTGGGGGTGCCGGCTCCCATCCAGCCCCAGGGTGGGGACCTGCTGGCTCAGGGGGGTCAGGGACTGGGACGCGGGGCCTGTCCCCTGTGGGGGGTGCCGGCTCCCACCCTCCCCAAGGCGAGGGGTGGCTGGGGTGGGGAAGAGCTCCAGCCCCCTCACGCTGCCTCTCTCCAGCCCCAGGACGATTACTCGGTGCTCTTCGAGGACACGTCCTACGCGGACGGCTACTCCCCGCCCCTCAACGTGGCCCAGAGATACGTGGTGGCCTGTAAGGAGACCAAGAAGAAGTGAGGCGGTGGGGACGGAGCTTGGGGGGGGCCTGTGAGTATAATAAAGGCTTCTCCGCCCCCCCATTGCACTCTGCTGTGGTTCATGCCAGTGCCGACGCCACCCCTGGCTTGGGGCCGAGGGAACCGCGCCCCACGGAGTCAGGGCAAGTCAGCATGTTCCAGCAGAGCCTCCGGGCCTGGCGGTTCAGAGCCCCGGCACCCCCGGGCCCGGCGGTTCACAGCCCCGGCACCCCCGGGCCCGGCGGTTCACAGCCCCGGCGGTTCGGTTATGAAAGTAAAAACGTTCCGTGAGCCCCAGCCCATCTTTCCTTACAAATTGAGCCCTGGGTATTTCCCACCCCCAGGCCAGTCTGGAGAGCTGCGACCCGCCTGGTACCAGCCCCCCATGTGGTCAGTGTGCCCTCGAGTGGGTGCCAGCCTGTGCCCCCGTCTCCTGGCAGACCGGGCCAGGCCTTTCGTCTCGTTTCCTACCCACGACGTTGGGTTAACGCCAGGTCACCCCACATGCCCTATATCAGGGTCTTGGCCTCCTTGGGCCCTGCTCCAGCCCCCATTGTGTCCGGCCCTTCGGCACCGGGCAGTGCCAGGTCCCGGCAGAGACATCGCTCTCCAGTACCTCCGATTACACAAACATCCTGGCTGTTTGACTTTCCCCCTCCCCACAGCTCCCCGCACCCGTACCCTGCCCCCCCAGGCCCCACACCCTGTCCCACAGCTCCCCGTACCCTGCCCGCACAGCTCCTGCCTCTCTGCCCCCCCCATACCCTGCCCCCCAGTGCCATGCCCCCACCACTCCCCAGAGCCCTGCCCCCCTCCGCCCCAGCACTTACAGAGCCAGCCCCGCACCCTGTCCCCCACTGGCTGCCTTATTGACCCATTCTAGGGTTTGTTCATTAACTACCCCCGGCATGGCCCTTTGACCCGCTGCCCGGAGGCCAGGATTCTGGGTGGCTCCTCGCCCAGCCTGGCCAGGGAGTGGGCGTGATTCCTGGTGTCAGGGGCTCCAGGGTCAGTGATTGTTCTGGGCCCAGTATAGGATGTGGGAGAAAACCCAGGCGTCCGGGCTCTAACCCGTCGGCCTCACTCCCCTCCCGGGTGGGATGTGGGGGCGGATTATGCAAGAGGCTCTGGCAGGGGGGCAAGTGGAACTGGAGTCAGATCCCTACAGCAGAGCGGGGGTGGGATGGGGGGGCTGAGAACCAGAGAAAGGTTCCCCCCCACAGCACCCGTCCCCCACAGCCAGCACCCCTTCCCCTCCCCGCAGCGCTCCCTGCTGGGAGAGGCTGGGGCTACAGTGAAGCACACGCAGATCAGAGCAGGTAACTCAGGTTTATCTCTCTGCAGTGGGGCGTGGGGGGGGTGATGTGGGGCAGGGGGGCTCAGATCTCCATCCGGAAGCTCAGGTCGGTTCCCTCCATTTGCCTCTCGTAGTCGGCGTCAAATCGCTCGTTCTGGGCCACCGTGAACTGGTTCTTCCAGTCGCCCGTCACACCTGGAGGGCAGGACAGTGCGGTCATTGCGCCCCCTGGCACCCCGCCGAGCCCCCCAGGCCGTGCCCCCTGGTTCTCTGCCCCCCACTGAGCCTCCCACCCCATGCCCCCTGGCACCTCACCGAGCCCACCCCACAGCACAGCGACCCCCGCTGGGCCCCACTCCTTGCCCCCTGGTGCCCCCGTACCCTTGCGCATGAAGGGCGAGATGCTGTGGTCCATGACGCTGGTGGGGATGGTTTTGTAGTTGGCCATGAAGTTCTGCTTCATCTTGGTGAACGAGGTGTGCTGGGCGATCGCCTCCACGAGCCCCTCGGATGGGGGGCGCCCCAGGAACTCCAGCACCTTCCGGATCTCGCGCCGGGGGTCCTGGGCCAGAGGGGTCAGAGCCAGTGGGGCGCGCCGGAGGGCTGGGGGAGGGGAACCTTGGGGGGCTGGGTCAGATCTGGAGACATGGGGCTGTCTGGTGGGGGCCGGGGACAGGAAGGGGGGCGGGGGGGGCTGGGGACAGGAAGGGGGGGCCGTCGGGGGGGCTCACCTCTTTCATGTCCTCGTAGAACAGGTAGAGCATTCGGTGCTCTCGTCTCTTCTCCCACCAGCCCCGGACGTGCTGGTGCCATGACCCGAACGACACTGTGGGAGGGCAGACGGCTCAGAGACCCCCAGGCCCCTCACACGCCCGCCTGAGGGTCCCCCGAGCCAGGCAGTCCCCCCCTGCTCCCCAGGGATCCCCCCGAGCCAGCCAATCCCCCCAGTCCCCCTGTGCCAGCCAGTCTATGCCCTGGGGCAGGTCTGAGCCAGCGCCCCCCGGAGGAGATCAGCCCCTGCTCGCGCCCCACCTCTCCCGGCCGTGAAGTCATCCAGGAAGTGGTCCCAGGAGCCGGGGTCCGGGTGCACCTTCGCCATCTGGTAGAAGTAATAGTAGGACACAGCCACGTCCTTGGCGTTCCTGGCCATGTAGATCATCTGGAGGGGGTGGGGGACACAGGGGTCAGGGTCTCACCGCCCCTTCCCCCCCGCAGCTGAGACCTCAGACCTCCGCTCCCCACACCACTACCCCCCCCAGAGCCCCAGCTGGCGCCCCCAATGGTAACCCCAGCCCCACAGCCCGAGGCTCACCTTACAGTCCTGCTCCCAGAACGACTCTGGCAGCAGCTGCACCGGGAGATGGGTCTTCACCAGCCGCCGGGATGGCCTCTTCTGGAGCAGCTCCACCCCTGGGGGGCACAGGGCAGGGGTGAGCCAGGAGCCCCCCACAGCCAGTGCCCCCTGCCCACAGCACCCTGCCCTCAGCGCCCCCTGCTAGGAGAGGCCAGGCTGGAGTAGCCGGGACCTAGACAAATTGGAGGATTGGGCCAAAAGAAATCTGATGAGGTTCAACAAGGACAAGTGCAGAGTCCTGCACTTAGGACGGAAGAACCCCATGCACCGCTACAGACTAGGGACCGAATGGCTAGGCAGCAGTTCTGCGGAAAAGGACCTAGGGGTGACAGTGGACGAGAAGCTGGATATGAGTCAGCAGTGTGCCCTTGTTGCCAAGAAGGCCAATGGCATTTTGGGATGTATAAGTAGGGGCATAGCGAGCAGATCGAGGGACATGATCGTTCCCCTCTATTTGACATTGGTGAGGCCTCATCTGGAGTACTGTGTCCAGTTTTGGGCCCCACACTACAAGAAGGATGTGGATAAATTGGAGAGAGTCCAGCGAAGGGCAACAAAAATGATTAGGGGTCTAGAACACATGACTTACGAGGAGAGGCTGAGGGAACTGGGATTGTTTAGCCTGCAGAAGAGAAGAATGAGGGGGGATTTGATAGCTGCTTTTAACTCCCTGAAGGGGGGTCCCAAAGAGGATGGAGCTCGGCTGTTCTCAGGGGTGGCAGACGACAGAACGAGGAGCAATGGTCTCTAGTTGCCCTGGGGGGGGTCTAGGTTGGAGATGAGGAAACACGATTTCACTAGGAGGGTGGGGAAGCCCTGCAATGGGTTCCCTAGGGAGGTGGTGGAATCTCCATCCTTAGAGGTGTTTAAGGCCTGGCTTGACAACGCCCTGGCTGGGATGATTTAGTTGGGGTCAGTCCTGCTTTGAGCAGGGGGTGGGACTAGGTGACCTCCCGAGGTCCCTTCCCACCCCGATATTCTAGGATTGCCGGAGCTCCCGCCACAGCCAGCGCCCTGCCCCCTCCCCACAGCGCCCCGGGAGCCAAGTCTGCGTTACCAGTGGGGATCCCAGGAACAGCAAACTCCAGGAAGGGGACTCGCATGTAGATGGCCTCTCGCTTGCATTTCTCTGTGTCTCCATCGTTGTAGATCATGTCGACGATCTCACTGATCCAGGTGGTACCTGCAGGGGACGGGCAGGCTAAGCTAGCCGGGGCTGCGGGTCGGGAGTGAGGGGCACCAGGGCACGGAGGGGCTCTGGGGCAGGTTGGAGGCACTCACCAGATTTGGGGTACGTGGAGATCAGTAGATCATCCGGCTGCGCCTGGAATCCCTCCACCTCCCCCCAGTTCTCAGCGAAGTATTTGATCATGGGGACTCCCCGGATGGGGATCAAGGCTGGGCGCGGAGTCTCCTCGGCTGGCTGCATCCTGTGAGAGAAAGGGTTAAAGAGGACTTCGACACCCTGGAGATCACCCCGCCCCACACACACGCACATCTCGAGCCCAGGGCTGGGGGGGCTGCGGGTCGGGAGCGGGGGGCACCGGCAGGGCTGGGCTAGCAGGGGGCTGCGGGTCGGGAGTGAGGGGCACCGGCAGAGCTGGGGGGCAGGGCTGGGCTAGCAGGGGGCTGCGGGTCGGGAGTGGGGGGCACCGGCAGGGCGGGGCTGGCAGGGGGCTGCGGGTCGGGAGTGGGGGGCACCGGCAGAGCTGGGGGGCACGGCTGGGCTAGCAGGGGCTGCGGGTCGGGAGTGAGGGGCACCGGCAGAGCTGGGGGGCAGGGCTGGGCTAGCAGGGGGCTGCGGGTCGGGAGTGGGGGGCACCGGCAGAGCTGGGGGGCAGGGCTGGGCTAGCAGGGGGCTGCGGGTCGGGAGCGGGGGGCACCGGCAGGGCGGGGCTGGCAGGGGGCTGCGGGTCGGGAGTGGGGGGCACCGGCAGAGCTGGGGGGGCACGGCTGGGCTAGCAGGGGGCTGCGGGTCGGGAGCGGGGGGCACCGGTAGGGCGGGGCTGGCAGGGGGCTGCGGGTCGGGAGCGGGGGGCACCGGTAGGGCGGGGCTGGCAGGGGGCTGCGGGTCGGGAGCGGGGGGCACTGGCGCGCGGGGGGGGGGCGAGTTGTGAAAGTTTCTGGCAGGAAAGGGAGAAGTTGGTGGCTCCGGGACATTCCTGGGGGCAGGGTCCAGACGCGGGTGGGGGGGGGTCAGGAGCCGGGGGGGGGGCACATGCGGCTGCCCCTTTCTTTAGGGGGGTAGGAGGGCCCCCTCAGGAGAAGGGCTGGTTCTCGGGCCCCGCGTCCCATCCCTCTGCCCGACCTGGGGGCCCCGGGCACCTGGGTCCCTTCTCCTGCCTGGGGGGGCCCGGAGGAGCAGCCCCCTCCCCCACTCACTTGCTCAGGGCTCGGCGGCGGGGTCCGGGGAAGCGCGGCGCGGGGCCGGGCGGGTTTTATCGCCGGAGCCAGGGGCGGGCGGGGCGTGGAGAGGGGCCAGGAGGGGGCTGCTCCCACCGCCATGGGGCCGGGGGCGGACGCCTGGGTCCCTCCCCGTCTTCATCTCTCTCTGGTTCCCCTCCCCCTTCCCCAGCGCTCAGGGGCAACGTCCCCGGACGCCTGGGTCCTCTTCCCCATCCCTGTTCCCCCCGCGCCCGGACGCCTGGGTCCCCTTCCCCACCCTTGTCTCCCCCCAGCCCCGGGTCCCCTCCCCCCGCCGGTGTCAGGGTCTGCAGGTTGCTCGGGTCACACAGTCCAGGAACTCGCTGGGTGCGGGAGGGGTCCCTGCCCCCCCAGCAGCTCACCCCCCTCCGGGCTTCAGGCGGCAGTTGTGGGGAGGGGGCAGGGAAAGGTTCCAGGATCCTCCCCCAAAGCCTGGGGCCCTTCCCCTGCCTGTCCTTGTCCCCCCCCCAGACTCCCTCCCCGGACACCTGGGTCCCCCATGTCAGGCACAGCCGGGACTTGAATCTCCTGGGATTTTTTATTTCATGTAAGTCCATAATTATCCCCTGGGCCCCCCGGCGATCCAGGAGGGGGCGGGACCACCGGCCCTTTGCCCCGCCCCTCCACGCAGGCTCCTCCCCTCGGGTCTTCAGCTCCGCAGCTCCTCCGTCCAGTGTCCCTGTGGGCGGGAGGGAGTCAGAGAGGGAGGGGCTTCCCTGTGAGGGGGTGGGGACAGGGTGAGGGGGCGGGGCTTGGCTGACTCAGAAAGGGGCGGGGACAAAGCAGGGAGGAGTTTAGCAGCCAGAGACTGTGAAAGGGGAGGGGAGAGAATGGGGGCAGGGCTTACCTGCAAGAGGGGGCGTGGACAGGGCGGGGCTTAGTAGCCAAAGGGCAGGCACAGGGAAGGGGGTGGGCTTAAAGCCACGAGGGGCGGCCCAATAGGCTCGCCCACACAACGGGTGGGGCTGTTGTGCCGAAGGGGAACACGCCATGGGTGGAGCTTAGCAGCAAGAGGGCGGGGCTTACCTGGGAGGAGGCAGGGACTTCTTCCAGGTCACCATAGCAACCCTGGTGGTATCGAATCAGGTCGCCCCACAGGAGGAGGTTCTTGCAGCTGCAACAGAAAATGGGGGGGCCTTCACCATGGGAATGGGGTTGCCAAGGCAACATGCTGGGGATGTTGCCCATAGCAACGGCGTCCCATCCCTGCCCCCCCTAGAGATCCGCTCCTCCCAGGGGAGCCCCCACTGGTCCCTGGGCTCCGCTGGGGGCCCCATACCCTGGGCAGCGCCCCTCCACGGGCAGGAACTGCTGCGGCTCCTCCCGCAGGAACTCCCGCGCCAGGCAGGCGGGGTGGGCGGCCAGCGGGCATCCGGGGTGGAAGCAGCGCAGGGGAGGGTCGTCCACGTCCTGCAGGGGGGAAGACAGACAGAGGTGGGGGAGGGTACAGCCCCTCCACTCTAATCACTAGCCCCCACTCCCCAGCCCCGCTCCCCTGAGCTGGGAGAGAACCCAGGAGTCCAGGGTCCCAGCCTCCCCCTCCCCTTCTAGAGAACCCAGGTGTCCGAGAACCCCCAACCTACCTGGAGTCTCCTCAGGCAGAGGGTGCAGCGCTGGGTCTGGGCCGCCGGCCCCGGTGGAGGGCCGGGTTCTTCCTGCCCCCGCTCCCCACGCCCCCCGGCTGGGCCCAGCGCCCGGACCGGCCCAAAGGCCAGGGGCATGTGCAGGGGGGGCTGGAGGGCGGGGGGGAAGTCCTGGCGGTACTCCTGCTCCAGCCAGCGCACAGTGAGGGGCAGGCGGCACCAGGGGGCCACGCGCAGCATGTGGGCCAGAACCCGCAGGTGGAAATCGAAGCGGGTCTCCCGGCGGGCGCGGCGGCTCACGTGGGAGAGACGGCGAGAAGTGTGGGGGTGCTGCCAGGCCCACTCGAACTGGGGGGCAGAGAGACAGCGGCGTTAGAGAGCGGGATCTGCGGGTCGGGAGTGAGGGGCACCGGCAGAGCGGGGGGGCGGGGGCTGCGGGGCGGGAGTGAGGGGCACCGGCAGAGCGGGGGGGCGGGGGCTGCGGGGCGGGAGTGAGGGGCACCGGCAGAGCGGGGGAGGCGGGGGCTGCGGGTCAGGAGTGAGGGGCACCGGCAGGTACCCGCAGCGCAGCCACGTCGGAGGGGAAGCCGTGGACGATCAGCACCATCTCCCTGCAAGGAGAGAACCCAGGTCAGCCAGCGCTCCCAGCATGCCCCGCTCCCAGCATGCCCTACTCCCCCTGCCCCGTGCTCCCAGCATGCCCCGCTCCCCCTGCCCCGTGCTCCCAGCATGCCCTGCTCCCCCCGCTCCCAGCATGCCCTGCTCCCCCTGCCCCGTGCTCCCAGCATGCCCTGCTCCCCCTGCCCCGTGCTCCCAGCATGCCCTGCTCCCCCCTCCCAGCTGCCCCCCTGCCCCGTGCTCCCAGCATGCCCTGCTCCCACCAGACTCCCAGCATGCCCTGCCCCCCCCCCCTGCCCCGTGCTCCCAGCATGCCCCGCTCCCCCTGCCCCGTGCTCCCAGCATGCCCTGCTCCCCCTGCCCCGTGCTCCCAGCATGCCCTGCTCCCCCCGCTCCCAGCATGCCCTGCTCCCCCTGCCCCCGTGCTCCCAGCATGCCCCGCTCTGGGCCAGCCAGCACTCCCAGCATGCCGACCACCACTCCCAGCAAGCCCTTGTCTGCTGTTTAGGTTCGCAGGCGTGCGTGGCATGCTGGGATTACCCCCCCCCCCAGCGTGGCATGCTGGGATCCCCCCAGGGTTACCAGGGCCCGCGCCCACTGGTCTTCCAGGCCCCACCGCGGCGCTTGCCGGCGTTGTGCTGCCCGATGCGGCGCTGGGGGGCCACGGTGAAGCCGACGTAGACGCGGCCCCGGTACCGGGGGTTGGTGCAGAACAGCAGGTAGACGCCGAAGAACCCTCGCGGCTCTGCTCCCATGGCCGGGCCTGGGGAGAGGGGGCGGGAAAGGTCATGGCCGGCCAGCCCCACTTCCCAGCATGCCCCAGGTCTCCCCACTTCCCAGCATGCCCCGGGTCTCCCCATCTCCCAGCATGCTCCAGGTCCCCCACTTCCCAGCATGCCCCGGGTCTCCCCATCTCCCAGCATGCCCCGGGTCTCCCCATCTCCCAGCATGCTCCAGGTCCCCCACTTCCCAGCATGCCCCGGGTCTCCCCCAGTGCCCCCCTCTCCCAGCATGCCCCGGGTCTCCCCATCTCCCAGCATGCTCCAGGTCCCCCACTTCCCAGCATGCCCCGGGTCTCCCCCAGATGCCCCCACTTCCCAGCATGCCCTGGGTCTCCCCACTTCCCAGCATGCCCCGGGTTTCCCCCAGTGCCCCCATCTCCCAGCATGCTCCAGGTTCCCTACTTCCCAGCATGCCCCGGGTCTCCCCCAGATGCCCCCACTTCCCAGCATGCCCTGGGTCTCCCCACTTCCCAGCATGCCCCGGGTTTCCCCCAGTGCCCCCATCTCCCAGCATGCTCCAGGTCCCCCACTTCCCAGCATGCCCCGGGTCTCCCCCAGATGCCCCCATCTCCCAGCATGCCCCCCACTTCTCCCGTACCCCCAATCTCCCAGCATGCACCGCGTCCCCACCCCAACTTCCCAGCATGCTCCGGTCTCCCCCCTCCCGTGTCCCCCTTCTCCCAGCATGCCCCGGGGCCCCTCCCATCCTGCCTTCAGTCTCAGCTCCTACCACCAGCGCCCGAGCCCAGCTCGGGAAGAGGCACCAGGCGCCTCCCTCTGATTGGTGCCTTTGGGCGGTGTCGCTTCCCAGGATGGACCCTATTGGCCACCTCGCGGGAAGCCCGCCCCCCAGCCCTACTCTGATTGGAAGAGCTGGGGCGAGCGGCGCATTGGGACGGGACCTGAGGCGGAAGTGAGGAGTTGACTAGAGGCGGAAGTGGCGGCACGAGAGGCGGAAGTGAAGGCATGACTAGAGGCGGAAGTGGCGGCACCAGAGGCGGAAGTGAAGGCATGACTAGAGGCGGAAGTGGCGGCACCAGAGGCGGAAGTGAGGAGATGACCAGAGGCGGAAGTGGCGGCACCAGAGGCGGAAGTGAGGCCATGACCAGAGGCGGAAGTGGCGGCACCAGAGGCGGAAGTGAAGCATGACTAGAGGCGGAAGTGGCGGCACCAGAGGCGGAAGTGAAGGCATGACTAGAGGCGGAAGTGGCGGCACCAGAGGCGGAAGTGAGGAGATGACTAGAGGCGGAAGTGGCGGCACCAGAGGCGGAAGTGAGGAGATGACCAGAGGCGGAAGTGGCGGCACCAGAGGCGGAAGTGAGGCCATGACTAGAGGCGGAAGTGGGCGGGGTCTAGCGCCTTGCGGAGCGGGATGGAGGCGGCCGGGCCGGCTCTGAGCGCGGAGACCCTCCGGGGGCGGCTGCTGCGGGGGCTGGAGGCGGAGCACGTGGTGAGCCCCCCCCGCGGGCCCCTCCCCCCAAATACCCCCTAGGCCCCTCCCCCGCGCGGTGCCGGCTCTGACCCCCGGGGCGGGGCATCAAATCCGGGGCCTGGTGTCGGGGTCCCCGTTGGGGGAGGGGCAGGTGGGGGGGCGGGAGCTGGTGTCGGGGTCCCCGTTGGGGGAGGGGCAGGTGGGGGGGCGGGAGCTGGTGTCGGGGTCCCGGTTGGGGGAGGGGCAGGTGGGGGGGCGGGAGCTGGTGTCGGGGTCCCCGTTGGGGGAGGGGCAGGTGGGGGGGCGGGAGCTGGTGTCGGGGTCCCCGTTGGGGGAGGGGGCAGGTGGGGGGCGGGAGCTGGTGTCGGGGTCCCGGTTGGGGGAGGGGCAGGTGGGGGGGCGGGAGCTGGTGTCGGGGTCCCCGTTGGGGGAGGGGCAGGTGGGGGGGCGGGAGCTGGTGTCGGGGTCCCTGGGTGCCCGGGTGGGATCGGGGGGTTGGGGGTCACCTCCCCTCGTGTCTGTCCCCCCAGGAAGTCGAGGACACGACCCCGAGCCACTGCTCCTCCAGCTTCAAGGTCCTGGTCGTCTCGTCCCGGTTCCGGGGGAAGCCCCTGCTCCATCGACACCGGTACCCACAGCCCCGGGCCCCTCCCCGTCCCCGGGGCCCCCTCCCCGTCCCCACAGCCCCGGGCCCCCTCCCCGTCCCCACAGCCGGGCCCCCCCCCGTCCCCACAGCCCCGGGCCCCTCCCCGTCCCCGGGGCCCCCTCCCCGTCCCCACAGCCCCGGGCCCCCTCCCCGTCCCCACAGCCCCGGGCCCCCTCCCCGTCCCCACAGCCCCTGCTCCATCGACACCGGTACCCACAGCCCCGGGCCCCTCCCCGTCCCCACAGCCCCGGGCCCCTCCCCGTCCCCAGGGCCCCTCCCCGTCCCCACAGCCCCTGCTCCATCGACACCGGTACCCACAGCCCCGGGCCCCTCCCCGTCCCCGGGGCCCCCTCCCCGTCCCCACAGCCCCGGGCCCCCTCCCCGTCCCCACAGCCCCGGGGCCCTCCCCGTCCCCACAGCCCCGGGCCCCTCCCCGTCCCCACAGCCCGGGCCCCTCCCCGTCCCCACAGCCCCGGGCCCCTCCCCGTCCCCGGGGCCCCCTCCCCGTCCCCACAGCCCCGGGCCCCCTCCCCGTCCCCACAGCCCCTGCTCCATCGACACCGGTACCCACAGCCCCGGGCCCCTCCCCGTCCCCGGGGCCCCTCCCCGTCCCCACAGCCCCGGGGCCCCTCCCCGTCCCCACAGCCCCGGGGCCCCCTCCCCGTCCCCACAGCCCCGGGCCCCTCCCCGTCCCCACAGCCCCGGGCCCCCTCCCCGTCCCCACAGCCCCGGGCCCCCTCCCCGTCCCCACAGCCCCTGCTCCATCGACACCGGTACCCACAGCCCCGCCCCCCGCCCCAGCCCCGGGCCCCTCCCCGTCCCCACAGCCCCGGGGCCCCCTCCCCGTCCCCACAGCCCCGGGCCCCTCCCCGTCCCCACAGCCCCGGGCCCCCTCCCCGTCCCCACTGCCCCGGGCCCCCTCCCCGTCCCCACTGCCCCGGGCCCCTCCCCGTCCCCACAGCCCCGGGCCCCCTCCCCGTCCCCACAGCCCCGGGCCCCCTCCCCGTCCCCACAGCCCCGGGCCCCTCCCCGTCCCCACAGCCCCGGGCCCCCTCCCCGTCCCCACTGCCCCGGGCCCCCTCCCCGTCCCCACAGCCCCGGGCCCCTCCCCGTCCCCACAGCCCCTGCTCCATCGACACCGGTACCCACAGCCCCGGGGCCCCTCCCCGTCCCCACAGCCCCGGGCCCCCTCCCCGTCCCCACAGCCCCTGCTCCATCGACACCGGTACCCACAGCCCCGGGCCCCCTCCCCGTCCCCACAGCCCCTGCTCCATCGACACCGGTACCCACAGCCCCGGGCCCCTCCCCGTCCCCACAGCCCCGGGCCCCTCCCCGTCCCCACAGCCCCTGCTCCATCGACACCGGTACCCACAGCCCCGGGCCCCCTCCCCGTCCCCACAGCCCCTGCTCCATCGACACCGGTCCCCACAGCCCCGGGGCCCCTCCCCGTCCCCACAGCCCCGGGCCCCTCCCCGTCCCCACAGCCCCGGGGCCCTTCCCCGTCCCCACAGCCCCGGGCCCCCTCCCCCGTCCCCACAGCCCCGGGCCCCCTCCCCCGTCCCCACAGCCCCGGGTCCCCTCCCCGTCCCCACAGCCCCGGGCCCCTTCCCCGTCCCCACAGCCCCGGCCCCCTCCCCGTCCCCACAGCCCCGGGCCCCTCCCCGTCCCCACAGCCCCGGGCCCCTCCCCGTCCCCACAGCCCCGGGCCCCTTCCCCGTCCCCACAGCCCCGGGCCCCTTCCCCGTCCCCACAGCCCCGGGCCCCCTCCCCGTCCCCACAGCCCCGGGCCCCTCCCCGTCCCCACAGCCCCTGCTCCATCGACACCGGTACCCACAGCCCCGGGCCCCCCCCCGTCCCCACAGCCCCGGGCCCCCTCCCCGTCCCCACAGCCCCTGCTCCATCGACACCGGTACCCACAGCCCCGGGCCCCCTCCCCGTCCCCACAGCCCCGGGCCCCCTCCCCGTCCCCACAGCCCCGGGCCCTCCCCGTCCCCACAGCCCCGGGCCCCTCCCCGTCCCCACAGCCCGGGCCCCCTCCCCGTCCCCACAGCCCCGGGCCCCCTCCCCGTCCCCACAGCCCCGGGCCCCTCCCCGTCCCCACAGCCCCGGGCCCCTCCCCGTCCCCACAGCCCCGGGCCCCTCCCCGTCCCCACAGCCCCGGGCCCCCTCCCCGTCCCCACAGCCCCGGGCCCCCTCCCCGTCCCCACAGCCCCGGGCCCCCTCCCCGTCCCCACAGCCCCCCCCCCGTCCCCACAGCCCCGGGCCCCCTCCCCGTCCCCACAGCCCCGGCCCCCTCCCCGTCCCCACAGCCCCGCCCCCCGTCCCCACAGCCCGGGCCCCCTCCCCGTCCCCACAGCCCCGGCCCCCTCCCCGTCCCCACAGCCCCGGGCCCCTCCCCGTCCCCACAGCCCCGGGCCCCTCCCCGTCCCACAGCCCCCCCCGCCCTCCCCGTCCCCACAGCCCCGGGCCCCCTCCCCGTCCCCACAGCCCCCGGCCCCCTCCCCGTCCCCACAGCCCCGGGCCCCTCCCCGTCCCCACAGCCCCGGGCCCCCTCCCCGTCCCCACAGCCGGGCCCCCCCCCCACAGCCCCCCCCTCCCCGTCCCCACAGCCCCGGGCCCCCTCCCCCGTCCCCACAGCCCCGGGCCCCCTCCCCGTCCCCACAGCCCCGGGCCCCCTCCCCGTCCCCACAGCCCCGGGCCCCCTCCCCGTCCCCACAGCCCCTGCTCCATCGACACCGGTACCCACAGCCCCGGGCCCCCTCCCCGTCCCCACAGCCCGGGCCCCCTCCCCGTCCCCACAGCCCGCCCCCTCCCGTCCCCACAGCCCCGGGCCCCCTCCCCGTCCCCACAGCCCCGGGCCCCCTCCCCGTCCCCACAGCCCCTGCTCCATCGACACCGGTACCCACAGCCCCGGGCCCCCTCCCCGTCCCCACAGCCCCGGGCCCCCTCCCCCGTCCCCACAGCCCCGGGCCCCCTCCCCGTCCCCACAGCCCCGGGCCCCCTCCCCGTCCCCACAGCCCCGGGCCCCCTCCCCGTCCCCACAGCCCCGGGCCCCCTCCCCGTCCCCACAGCCCCGGGCCCCCTCCCCGTCCCCACAGCCCCGGGGCCCCCTCCCCGTCCCCACAGCCCCTGCTCCATCGACACCGGTCCCCACAGCCCGCCCCCTCCCCGTCCCCACAGCCCCGGGCCCCCTCCCCGTCCCCACAGCCCCGGGCCCCCTCCCCGTCCCCACAGCCCCTGCTCCATCGACACCGGTACCCACAGCCCCGGGCCCCCTCCCCGTCCCCACAGCCCCGGGGCCCCCTCCCCGTCCCCACAGCCCCTGCTCCATCGACACCGGTACCCACAGCCCCGGGCCCCTCCCCGTCCCCACAGCCCGGGCCCCCTCCCCGTCCCCACAGCCCCGGGCCCCCGTCCCCACAGCCCCGGGGCCCCTCCCCGTCCCCACAGCCCCGGCCCCCCTCCCCGTCCCCACAGCCCCGGGCCCCCTCCCCGTCCCCACAGCCCCGGGCCCCCTCCCCGTCCCCACAGCCCCGGGCCCCTCCCCTCCCCCAGCCGTCCCACAGCCCCGGGCCCCTCCCCGTCCCCACAGCCCGGGCCCCCTCCCCGTCCCCACAGCCCCGGGCCCCCTCCCCGTCCCCACAGCCCCGGGCCCCCTCCCCGTCCCCACAGCCCCTGCTCCATCGACACCGGTACCCACAGCCCCGGGCCCCCTCCCCGTCCCCACAGCCCCGGGCCCCCTCCCCGTCCCCACAGCCCCGGGCCCCCTCCCCGTCCCCACAGCCCCTGCTCCCTCGACCCGTCCCCACAGCCCCGGGCCCCCTCCCCCGTCCCCACAGCCCCGGGCCCCCTCCCCGTCCCCACAGCCCCGGGCCCCTCCCCGTCCCCACAGCCCCGGGCCCCTCCCCGTCCCCACAGCCCCGGGCCCCTCCCCGTCCCCACAGCCCCGGGCCCCCTCGCCCGTCCCCACAGCCCCGGGCCCCCTCCCCGTCCCCACAGCCCCGGGCCCCCTCCCCGTCCCCACAGCCCCGGGCCCCCTCCCCGTCCCCACAGCCCCGGGCCCCCTCCCCGTCCCCACAGCCCCGGGCCCCCTCCCCGTCCCCACAGCCCCGGGCCCCTCCCCGTCCCCACAGCCCCGGGCCCCCTCCCCGTCCCCACAGCCCCGGGCCCCTCCCCGTCCCCACAGCCCCTGCTCCCCGTCCCCACAGCCCCGGGCCCCTCCCCGTCCCCACAGCCCCGGGCCCCCTCCCCGTCCCCACAGCCCCGGGCCCCCTCCCCGTCCCCACAGCCCCGGGCCCCCTCCCCGTCCCCACAGCCCCGGGCCCCCTCCCCGTCCCCACAGCCCCTGCTCCATCGACACCGGTACCCACAGCCCCGGGCCCCCTCCCCGTCCCCACAGCCCCGGGCCCCCTCCCCGTCCCCACAGCCCCGGGCCCCTCCCCGTCCCCACAGCCCCGGGCCCCCTCCCCGTCCCCACAGCCCCCGGGCCCCCTCCCCGTCCCCACAGCCCCTGCCCCTCCCCGTCCCCACAGCCCCGGGCCCCCTCCCCGTCCCCACAGCCCGGGCCCCTCCCCGTCCCCACAGCCCCGGCCCCTCCCCGTCCCCACAGCCCCGGCCCCCTCCCCGTCCCCACAGCCCGGGCCCCCTCCCCGTCCCCACAGCCCCGGCCCCTCCCCGTCCCCACAGCCCGCCCCTCCCGTCCCCACAGCCCCTGCTCCATCCCCGGTCCCACAGCCCCGGGCCCCCTCCCGTCCCCACAGCCCCGGGCCCCCTCCCGTCCCCACAGCCCCGGGCCCCTCCCCGTCCCCACAGCCCCGGCCCCTCCCCGTCCCCACAGCCCCGGGCCCCCTCCCCGTCCCCACAGCCCCGGGCCCCCTCCCCGTCCCCACAGCCCCGGCCCCCTCCCCGTCCCCACAGCCCCGGGCCCCTCCCCGTCCCCACAGCCCCGGGCCCCCTCCCCGTCCCCACAGCCCCTGCTCCATGACCGGTCCCCACAGCCCCGGGCCCCCTCCCCGTCCCCACAGCCCCGGGCCCCCTCCCCGTCCCCACAGCCCCTGCTCCATCGACACCGGTACCCACAGCCCCGGGCCCCCTCCCCGTCCCCACAGCCCCGGGCCCCCTCCCCGTCCCCACAGCCCCGGGGCCCCCTCCCCGTCCCCACAGCCCCGGGCCCCTCCCCGTCCCCACAGCCCCGCCCCCTCCCCCCCCCCCCGGGCCCCCTCCCCGTCCCCACAGCCCCGGCCCCTCCCCGTCCCCACAGCCCCGGGGCCCCTCCCCGTCCCCACAGCCCCGGGCCCCCTCCCCGTCCCCACAGCCCCGGGGCCCCCTCCCCGTCCCCACAGCCCCTGCTCCATCGACACCGGTCCCCACAGCCCCGGCCGCCCCCCCCCGTCCCCACAGCCCCGGGCCCCCTCCCCGTCCCCACAGCCCCGGGCCCCCTCCCCGTCCCCACAGCCCCGGGCCCCCTCCCCGTCCCCACAGCCCCGGGCCCCTCCCCGTCCCCACAGCCCCTGCCCCTCCCCGTCCCCACAGCCCCGGGCCCCTCCCCGTCCCCACAGCCCGGGCCCCCCCGCGGGGCCCCTCCCCGTCCCCACAGCCCCGGCCCCCTCCCCGTCCCCACAGCCCCGGGCCCCCTCCCCGTCCCCACAGCCCCTGCTCCATCGACACCGGTACCCACAGCCCCGGGCCCCCTCCCCGTCCCCACAGCCCCGGGCCCCCTCCCCGTCCCCACAGCCCCGGGCCCCCTCCCCGTCCCCACAGCCCCTGCTCCATCGACACCGGTACCCACAGCCCCGGGCCCCTCCCCGTCCCCCGGGGCCCCCCCCCGTCCCCACAGCCCCGGGGCCCCCCTCCCGTCCCCGGCCCCCCCCGTCCCCACAGCCCCGCCCCATCGACACCGGTCCCCACAGCCCCGGGCCCCCTCCCCGTCCCGGGCCCCCTCCCCGTCCCCACAGCCCCGGGGCCCCCTCCCCGTCCCCACAGCCCCTGCTCCCTCCCCGTCCCCACAGCCCCGGGCCCCTCCCCGTCCCCACAGCCCCTGCTCCTCGTACACCCTCCCCGTCCCCACAGCCCCGGGCCCCCTCCCCGTCCCCACAGCCCCTGCTCCATCGACACCGGTACCCACAGCCCCGGGCCCCCTCCCCGTCCCCACAGCCCCGGGCCCCTCCCCGTCCCCACAGCCCCGGGCCCCCTCCCCGTCCCCACAGCCCTGCTCCATCGACACCGTCCCCACAGCCCCGGGGCCCCCTCCCCGTCCCCACAGCCCCGGGGCCCCCTCCCCCGTCCCCACAGCCCCGGGGCCCCTCCCCGTCCCCACAGCCCCGGGCCCCTCCCCGTCCCCACAGCCCCGGGCCCCCTCCCCGTCCCCACAGCCCCGGGCCCCTCCCCCGTCCCCACAGCCCCGGGCCCCCTCCCCGTCCCCACAGCCCCGGGCCCCCTCCCCGTCCCCACAGCCCCTGCTCCATCGACACCGGTCCCCACAGCCCCGGGCCCCCTCCCCGTCCCCACAGCCCCGGGCCCCCTCCCCGTCCCCACAGCCCCTGCTCCATCGACACCGGTACCCACAGCCCCGGGCCCCCTCCCCGTCCCCACAGCCCCGGGGCCCCCTCCCCGTCCCCACAGCCCCGGGCCCCCCTCCCCGTCCCCACAGCCCCTGTCCATCCCCCCCCCCGTCCCCGGGGCCCCCTCCCCGTCCCCACAGCCCCGGGCCCCTCCCCGTCCCCACAGCCCCTGCTCCATCGACACCGGTACCCACAGCCCCGGGCCCCCTCCCCGTCCCCACAGCCCGGGCCCCCTCCCCGTCCCCCGCCCCGGGCCCCCTCCCCGTCCCCACAGCCCCTGCTCCATTGACACCGGTACCCACAGCCCCGGGCCCCCTCCCCGTCCCCACAGCCCCGGGCCCCTCCCCGTCCCCACAGCCCCGGCTCCCTCGACCCGGTCCCCACAGCCCCGGGCCCCCTCCCCGTCCCCACAGCCCCTGCTCCATCGACACCGGTACCCACAGCCCCGGGCCCCTCCCCGTCCCCAAGCCCCGGGCCCCCTCCCCGTCCCCACAGCCCCGGGCCCCCTCCCCGTCCCCACAGCCCCGGCCCCCTCCCCGTCCCCACAGCCCCTGCTCCATCGACACCGGTCCCCACAGCCCCGGGGCCCCCTCCCCGTCCCCACAGCCCCGGGGCCCCCTCCCCGTCCCCCGCCCCGGGGCCCCCTCCCCGTCCCCACAGCCCCTGCTCCATCGACACCGGTACCCACAGCCCCGGGCCCCCTCCCCGTCCCCGGGGCCCCCTCCCCGTCCCCACAGCCCCGGGGCCCCTCCCCGTCCCCGGGGCCCCTCCCCGTCCCCACAGCCCCGGGGCCCCTCCCCGTCCCCCGGGGCCCCTGCTCCATCGACACCGGTACCCACAGCCCCGGGGCCCCTCCCCGTCCCCACAGCCCCGGGGCCCCTCCCCGTCCCCGGGGCCCCTGCTCCATCGACACCGGTACCCACAGCCCCGGGGCCCCCTCCCCGTCCCCACAGCCCCGGGGCCCCCTCCCCGTCCCCACAGCCCCGGGGCCCCCTCCCCGTCCCCGGGGCCCCTCCCCGTCCCCACAGCCCCTGCTCCATCGACACCGGTACCCACAGCCCCGGGCCCCCTCCCCCGTCCCCCCTCCCCGTCCCCACAGCCCCGGGGCCCCTCCCCGTCCCCGGGGGGCCCCTCCCCGTCCCCACAGCCCCGGGGCTCCATCGCCCGTCCCACAGCCCCGGGCCCCCTCCCCGTCCCCACAGCCCCGGGGCCCCTCCCCGTCCCCACGGCCCCTGCTCCATCGACACCGGTCGTCCCCACAGCCCCGGGCCCCCTCCCCGTCCCCACAGCCCCGGGCCCCCTCCCCGTCCCCACAGCCCCTGCTCCATCGACACCGGTACCCACAGCCCTGGGGCCCCTCCCCGTCCCCCAGCCCCGGGGCCCCCTCCCCGTCCCCACAGCCCCGGGGCCCCTCCCCGTCCCCACAGCCCCGGGGCCCCCTCCCCGTCCCCACAGCCCCGGGGCCTCTGGCCCTGCCGACCCTGGGCTCCGGTCTCCCCCATCACAGTCTGGGGGCTGACCCCACCCTGCCTCCCCCACAGGGACCCCCACCTGCCGGTGCAGTTGGGGAGAGCGCTGGGGCGTGACCCATTAACCAGCCCTCCAGCCCCCGGGCCCAGCCTCCCCGTCCCTGACCCCCGGGGCTCCTGGGCCTGGCACTGACCCCCCTCCCCACAGGCTGGTGAACGAGCTGTTGGCAGAGGAGCTGAAGCACATTCACGCCTTCGAGCAGCGCACGCTGACCCCCGAGCAGTGGGAGAAGGAGCGGGGGGGCCTGCAGTGAGACCCCCGGCCCCGGAGCAGGACGGAGCTGGGACCCCGCGCCCCACGGAGCTGAGAGACCAGCTGCAATAAAGGATTATGGGCAACAAACTAGTGTCTGACTGGTGCCCCCCACTCGCGACCCGCAGCCCCCCGCCAGCCCGGCCCTGCCCCCCCAGCCCCGCCCGTGCCCCCACTCGCGACCCGCAGCCCCCCCGCCAGGCCAGGCCAGCCCTGCCCCCCCAGTCCTGCCGGTGCCCCTCACCTGGAGCCGTACCCAGTATTCCCAGCCAGCAGGCGGGTGGGGGAGGTGCCTAGCTGGGGCATTTCAGGTTATGAATTGGGAGGGGGGCAATTGAACCCTTTGTGGTTTTAACAATCCCTTGGTTTGATGCGTCCTGCAAAGCTGCCATCAGTAGCCTTTAGAATCAACACCTGTCCCGCGTGGGGGGCGTTCCCGTTTCCCCTGAGGTCTGACCTCCATCGTCTCCCCGTCTCCGCCATGGGCGGGGGGGGGGTCTCGGCCACGCCCCACCCCCAGCACAAAGCAGGGCAGAGGTGCTATTTACAAACTTTATTGGTAGAACCGTTCACAGCAGAAAGACACTGGTGCCCGTCCCCTCCCCTGGGGTGGCCCCCCCGTTCCACCATATCCCCCCCCCCCCGTTACTCCCCTCACCCCAATGACTTAAACAACAAAGGTAAAAAAGATAAAAGCTTCTCTGTACAGGGCGGGAGGGATCCGGCCTCCCAGAGAGGGAGGGGAGGGTACGGGGAAGGGAAGGGGGATTATAGGGGCATTGGAGGGTTAATTTGGCAGGACCTGGCCCCCCATAAAGGTGTAGTGGGGGGGGCTCTTTGGCCATGGCAGATGCTGGGGCGGTGGGAAGCGCCGCTTGCTGGCAGCCAGGGGGGCAGAAAGAGGCTCCAGCTGTCAAAGCTTGTGGGGGGCGGGGGAGTTCCAGTGCCATGGGGCAGCCCTGAGTTTGACAGAAAGTTGTGGGGGGACAGAGGCTCCCCCCGGCTATTTGGCAGCCTGCGTCTCCAGCACCGCGATGCGTCGGTCCTGCTCTGCCACCCTCGCCTGCAGCTGCCGCACGTCCTCGGTCAACTTCTCCAGCGCCTGGGGAGGGGGAGAGCTCGTGGGGTGCCCCTCGCTCCCGGCCCGCAGCCCCCTGCTGGCCCAGCCATGGGGTCCCCTCCCCCAGCTCTACCGGTGCTCCCCGCTCCCGACCCACAGCCCCCTGCCGGCCCAGCCATGGGGGCCCCTCCCCCAGCTCTGCCGGTGCCCCCCGCTCCCGACCCACAGCCCCCTGCCGGCCCAGCCATGGGGGCCCCTCCCCCAGCTCTGCTGGTGCCCCCCGCTCCCGACCCGCAGCCCCCTGCCGGCCCAGCCCTGAGCTCCCCTCCCCCAGCTCTGCCGGTGCCCCTCGCTCCCGACCTGCAGCCCCCCCCCATCTCACCCCAGGGCTGGCCCCATCGGGGCAAGGCTGGCTCCGGCGTGGCTCCAGGATGCTCTTGTTGACTTTGAACTCGCGACTCTTGGGTGGGACGTATCCATCCTTCAGGGAGATGAGCAGGGGGCCGGCGTCCTTGCCCCCAAACCATTCTTCTGCCGTCAGCGCGGGGTCGGGCCCGACCGTGTCGGGGTACAGGTCCTCCTGGAACAGATCTGACTGCGGGAGGAGAGAGCCAGCATGGGACCCAGGCGTCCATGCTCCCAGCCCCTCCCCAAGCCAAGATAGAACCTAGGCATCAGGGCTCCTCTCCCCTACCCGAGCTGGGATAGAACCCAGGCGTCCGAGCTCCCAGCCCCCGGCTCACCTTGCGGGGCACCGTCATGGCAATGGGCTCACATCTGCGCTCGTGGAGTTTGTAGAATCTGAAATGCGGAGGGAAGGGGGGGTTCAGAGTGGGGGGGGTCTCTTGGGATCCCAGCAGTGGAGAGGATTGGGGGGCTGAGTGGTGTGGTTAGATGTTTGGCTGTGTGACAGTCTCCCTGTCTGCCGCCGCAGCCCTGTGCAGACAGCCGGCACACAGAACTGCCCAATGACCACAAGATCTGTTAAGGGACGAAGGCACCTGGCCAGGTTTATTGTCAACGAGGCAGGTACTAGGATCCCGCAGACTCTACCGGACCAATAATACAAGTGTGCCCGTAACAATGGACCTGCTCAGTGAACGGCAGGACTTTCCGTTCCCCCCTCTGCCAGCCAGAGACTCCATTTTATACATCAACACAAACCACTTACGTACGGCCCCCACCCATCGCTCTGTCCTCCTGCCCTGGGGGGGTCAGCGCGTCCCTGTTCTCTTTGGTGTTCGGGTTCCACCGGTCTGGGATGGGGACGTGAGTGTCGTGTGCCCAGCACCTCTCAGGAGGGTTTCCCCCAGCCTGGCTCTGCTCCGAGCCTTGCTTGAGCCCAGGGTTATGTCTCAGGGTCGCTTCCTACCACAAGGGCACTGCTGTGCAGTGCGGGGGGAAGGGATTATGGGGGGGCTGAGGAGGATTTCGGGGCACTGGAGGAGGCTGGGGATTGGGGGGATTCTGGGGTCTATGGGGAATTGGGAGGTTTCAGGGAGGGTTGGTGGCTGGGGAGATTTGGGGGGGTTTTGGAGTTCAAGGGGCATTTTGTGGGGTTCAGGGATTGTTGGGAGTCCGGGGGGGCGGAGGGAGGTTTTGGGGGGCTGGGGGAATTCAGGTATCCAAAGGGAGGCTGGGGTTCCGAGGGGGTTTTGGGGGGACCTGGGGGGATTTAGGTGTCTGAAGAGAAGCTGGGGGGGTTTGGGGGGGACTCGGGGGGATTCAGGTGTCTGAAGGGGGGTGGGGGGTTTGGGGGGGACTTGAGGGATTCAGGTGTCCCAAGGGGGGTGGGGGGTCTGAGAGGGTTTGGGGGGGTGGGGGTCCCCTGTACCTGGCGATCTCGCACTTGCTGACGTCCAGGCCCCGCTTGGGCATCCAGCCGCCCCCACGCTGGGACTCCTTGGAGCTGAAGATGGAGAGGAAGTGCAGGTAGGGGGCCTCGGGTGTCACCTCGAAGTAGCGGATGGAGCTGTCGCCCTGCGGGGGGGACAGATGGGGCGGTCAGCGGGGGGGAGCCGGGGAGCCCCCCCCAGGACCCCCAAGCTCCTGTCCCCAGTGGGCTCCCCTGGACGCCTGGGTCCTGCACCAACCTTGCCGCAGAGGTAGACCATGCTGGTGTCGGGGTCGTAGTGGGGGACCAGCACCCCGCTGCTCGTGTCCAGCTCCTGCAGGTTCATGGGCTCCTCCAGGTGCGCCTGGTGTGGGGAGAGACCAGGGGGTCAGGGGGTGGCGGGGGCAGGGTCCCGCTCAGAGTCCCACAGCGCCACCTGCTGCTCACTTGGGGAGGGGCTAGAGGAGAGGTAGGTGGGTGGGGCTAGAAGGCAGGGTTGGGGGCAGGGTTTCTCCCTGAGTTCTGCATCACTTGCTGGGGGGGGGGGTGAGAAGGGGTCGCCCCATGGGAGGGGGTGTGAGGCAAGCTCCCAGGGGGGCCCAGGGGGAGGGGGTCTCCCAGGGTCCCTGGGGGGCAGGGTCCCAGGGGGGCGGGGTCTCCCCGGGTCCCAGGGGGTGGGGTCCCAGGGGGGCGGGGTCTCACCGGGTCCCTGGGGGGCGGGGTCCCAGGGGGCGGGGTCTCAGGGGGCGGGGTCTCCCCAGGTCCCTGGGGGGCGGGGTCCCAGGGGGCAGGGTCTCCCTGGGGGATGGGGTCCCAGGGGGCGGGGTCTCCCCAGGTCCCTGGGGGGCGGGGTCTCAGGGAGCGGGGTCTCCCCGGGTCCCTGGGGGGCGGGGTCCCAGGGGGGCGGGGTCTCACCGGGTCCCTGGGGGGCGGGGTCCCAGGGGGCAGGGTCTCACCGGGTCCCTGGGGGGCGGGGTCTCAGGGGGCGGGGTCTCCCAGGGGGCGGGGTCTCACCGGGTCCCACAGCGCCACCTGGCGCTCGCTCATGCGGCTGAAGCCCGTGGTGAGGATCTTGCCGTCGGCCAGCAGGACAGCGCGGACCGGCCGGGAGCCCTCGTGGGGGCTGGCCTTTTCCTGTGGGGAGACGGGGGTCAGAGAGACAGGCAGCCCCCCACGCCCCCTAGCCCCAGGCCATAGCCGTCCCCTCGGCCCCCCGCCCCCGCGGCCCCGCCCCGCACTCACGGCGAGCAGGCGGCCGGAGCGGGGCTCGATCACGCGGACCCGGCGGTCCCGGCAGGTGGTGCAGAGGCGGGAGCCGTCGCGGCTCCAGGCCACGCTGTGGATGACGTCGGGGTGCAGGTCCCGCAGCTCCACGAGCGCCCGGCCCGAGCCCACGTCCCACAGCAGCACGGCGTTGTCACAGCCTGGGGGGGAGGGGGGTCAGCGGGGGTGGGGGGGGGCGCCCCCAGCCCCTGGGAGCACCTGCGCTCAGCAGCACGGCGTTGTCACAGCCTAGGGGAGGGGGCTCGGCGGGGGTGGGGCAGGGGGCGGAGCAGGGGGGCGCCCCCAGCCCCTGGGAGCACCTGCGCTCAGCAGCACGGCGTTGTCACAGCCTAGGGGGGAGGGGGCTCGGCGGGGGTGGGGCGGGGAGCAGGGGGCGGAGCAGGGGGCGCCCCCAGCCCCCTGGGAGTACCTGCGCTCAGCAGCACGGCGTTGTCACAGCCTAGGGGAGGGGAGGGGAGGGGGGTCAGCGGGGGTGGGGCGGGGGGCAGGGGGCGGAGCAGGGGGGCGCCCCCCAGCCCCTGGGAGCACCTGCGCTCAGCAGCACGGCGTTGTCACAGCCTAGGGGAGGGGAGGGGAGGGGGCTCGGCGGGGGTGGGGCAGGGGGCGGAGCAGGGGGCGCCCCCCAGCCCCTGGGAGCACCTGCGCTCAGCAGCACGGCGTTGTCACAGCCTAGGGGGGGAGGGGGCTCGGCGGGGGTGGGGGCAGGGGGCGCCCCCAGCCCCTGGGAGCACCTGCGCTCAGCAGCACGGCGTTGTCACAGCCTAGGGGGGGAGGGGAGGGGGATCAGCGGGGGTGGGGCGGGGAGCAGGGGGCGGAGCAGGGGGCGCCCCCCAGCCCCTGGGAGCACCTGCGCTCAGCAGCACGGCGTTGTCACAGCCTAGGGGGGGGAGGGGGATCAGCGGGGGTGGGGCG